ACGGTTAAATGGCATTGCTTTCCGAGCCGCCCTGCCAATTCCAGCTTTTTCTTCCCGTGAAATGGGCATTTGTCTCTGGAGCGGCTGAGATGTCAGCCAGTGTTCAGCCTCCCCCGGCTCGCTGGCGTCTCTTACATATGTCTACCCCTCGGAAGACACTCAATGCTGCTGGTTACTAATTAGTGCTTTCTCTTCTTCGGAGATACTGCTCTCGGTTTTATGGCGGACTGAAATAACGGATAGTACTAGTTTCGTTGGCAATCGTAAAAGTGTTAATTACACGCTAAAAAAAATATTACATATATTTCAGGTGTACGAGTTTTGAGATGTTTTCAGTAGGAATTTATATAAACTGACATATATTTATTACTGGAGTAAAACTCTTACAAATTGCTTCCAGAATTTAAAATTTATTTTTGCTTTATAAGATTTTAGTGTTTTTTTTTTGGTATCAACAATATTACCAAGCAAAAAGATGTATTTGAGGAACTTAAAGACAAGGCCTCGTTTACATGCATAACTGTTCATAGTAAAATTTAACGGTTGTTAAAAGAAAAACTCTCATACAACGAATCGATGCGTATGACGAGTTGATTTTGTGTCCCCTAGAAGTTAAACATCTCTCGAAACTAATTTTTGAAGATTTCAAAATTTTCATACATTTCAATGCAAGTATTTGAAAATTTATTGAATAAAAAACTTCCATGATAAGTTTAATTTGAGTTCAATAATTCCGTGAACATTATTGGTTGTCTTTAAAAAATATTGCGAATTATATGCATCGCAAAATTCACAGTCCCACAGGACTTCGCTATAAGCAAGTTTCACTGTACATTTTAAAGGCAATTCTACTTAAATTTTACAATTTCCACTTTGTATAGAGGGTTACTTTTAGCGAAGTGATCGAAAAATGTCGCTAAATATTTCTGTCATTTAACATTGCGTAAAAATGTACGTAAAACTGGCATAATATGGAAATAATTACGTTCTTCATTTACTCTATTCCTAAATTTGAAAAAAAAACTTTATTTCATAAATATAACAGAAAATTTCTCCAAAGTTGTCTTTTAAGTGCTGTTATTTAAATTTCTAAAAAAAAAAAAAAAAAAAAAATACTCCTATTTTGAAAAAAACAAATAACAGCAAAGAAATTTTGGTCAAGCATTTACTTTCGCACGGTAAATAAGATTTAAAAAATCAACATTATATTAATGTAACGTATGTCAGAGAGTCATACTGTGTATTTTTTTTCAACACAAGCCTAAAAATTGATAAGATGTTATTATACTGACTTCTGCAGATGAAAAGATCAGGCAGTCACACCAAATATCTACATATATCAATTATACTCGATATGTTTAAAAGGGTGAAAAAATTATGTCTGAAAAATACAATATTTAGAAATCATTATCAACAGGTTTATTAAAGAGCTTGTGGATCCTTTTTTTTCACTTCTCTGAATAAGTCAAATCCAAAGAAGTTTAACTTTTAAAATATATATAATTTGATATACTCCAATAGCACTGAATTTAGACCTACTTTCAAATATGAAAAAAATTAAAATTAAAAATGAAAGTTTTGTTTCCATATCTTTGCAAGGAAGGTTCAGGTTTGTGATAAAAATGCCAGCATCGACTTCAAGGTCACAGTCCCCTTCCGCCATTTCCTGATGGCACCACCTGTTTTGACCTGCGTTATTTTATGGCATAATGTCATAACATAACTCTCCGAGAAACTCTGAATGTGCTGGGAAGAAAATGCGAAATGCGCAACAAAAGAATGTCTTGAAAGAACTTGATCAACGATAAATTCTGTCAAATAGATTTCATCACAAGAACCGCAACATTACTTCATAAAGCACACGGTTGTCGTCTAAAGAAACGCTGATTCTTTTTTCCCCCTTAATTTTCTGTATTCTATCAGTGCATTGCAAGCAAGAAAGAAGAATTTAGGGATTTAAAGATTTGATTGGTATTCAAATCTTCCGCTTATGTCTAAATTTAGTTAATAATCAAATTCTGCTTAAAATTATCAAGAAATGACCTTTTTCTAGTTTAAATTCCCTATTCTTTCCTTATTCACCAACTATGTTACAATCTAAAGCAATTTTTCAAGTAGTTTTCTTTCCTAGGAAAATTCCCACTTATCACAATTTTTGTTCTACACTAGATTTTCAATTAAGTGCAAAACTAAAAAAAAAAACCAAAATACATGTACATTTCATGGGGAAGAAAAAGAAAATCGATATGCAATTAACTTCTGCTTCATATTTTATTATTTTACTACTTTAGACGACAACGGTCAACTACATTGTAACAATTAAATTGTATGACAAACGAGGTGACCAGCTTTTACATTGACAACTTTCCCCACCTGTGTAATAAGATTCCGCTACCACCTGCATATGGTGTTTATGTATCCCAGCTTATTCGCTACGCAAGTATACTCTGAGAATGATCAATTTTTAAGGCAGACTGCTCACAAATAAGTTGATACCACAGGAATTTCAAAAATTTCGTTGAAAGTCAGCTTTGCGTAAATTCTATGTTCATTGAATGACTCAGTTCGAAAAAAAATCCCTAGTATTTGGCTGACTTGTTACATACCAATTGTTAGATCTTCGTTTTTTTTTTTGTTTTTTTTTTACTAAATTTAACTACGATTTGACTACGACCACTTGATCAATGTATAACTGAGGTTCACGGTTCTTATGACCGGTCAACAGGAGATGCTTACTCCTCTATGGCACTTGACCTCATATCTGGTATTCACAGGAGTCCGTTTTTAAGCCCTGCAGATTTGAATAGTTTGAAGTTTTCAAGAGATTGCTATCTTTACTCTTTTTCATTGTTGTCAATATACAACGAAAAAAGATTCAATGACGTAACAAAAAGCATTCAATTTATGCATATTTAATCTAATTTGAAAATATATACATTGTATATAATTTTTTTATGTTCTATTAAGCTTAGCTTTGACTTTTAATTTTTTTTTCAAGGCATGTTGCTTATATTTTTAACTAGCTGATATATTACATAGTTGAATTTTAATTAACTAGGAGTGAACATTATAGTCAATCGTTTCTCGAAATCCCCTCGTCTTATTCTGTCATTTATAGATAAAAAGGAATATAATTTCATTATCTTTACATCTTTTAATATTCGGCCATGGTTGTGTTGGTAAGTAATTTGCTGAGCCGATTAAATTAAATAAAATGTATAAAAAAGAAGACACATGCAGTGCTTTATCACATGTACGTGTATCAGTAATTGCATTCATTGCTGATAAAAAGTACAGTGATTTGGTCCAAGATACATATCAAAACTGAATATATTTCAGTTAGGATAAAGGCCGGTTTATACTATGCATCTTGACACATGCATCTTGGATGCATGTGTCAAGATTCACAGTGTAAAAGCCCCTTGTTTCAAATTAAATGGGTGTTGCATCTTGAACGATGGAATAGAAATTGTTCTATTCCGTGCTTCAAGATGCATGGAACTGACCAATGAAAAAAGAGGTCAGAGTTGATATTGAATCATAAGCCTTATTTTTTCCATATAGTTTCAAAAATAGCTTCCCAAGATACACAAAAACAGAAAATACTGATTAAAAGTACAATTAGAAAAACTTACTTGATTATTATAATATAAAGGAGTTTTTGTTTTGGAATAAATATAAATTATATCTTCAAGAATTATCATAAAAAGGAAATTAAGAATGATTTGTTCAGCTAAAATATATCTGGAAATGAAATTTGAAGGTATTGTTATTTTTTTTTAAGTAGAAAAATTTCATCTTTACAAAGTATTCTAAAGATGCATGCATCAAGACACATAGTGTAAATAAGAAGATGCATGAGGCAAAATTGAAGCATGAGTTTAGATGCATGTGTCAAGATGCATAGTGTAAACCGGCCTTAATTATCATATTTGAATAATAATTTCATTTATTTGCGCCCAAATCTTTGCATACTAATTTAAAGAACAGCGATCATGAATAACATGTAACATATTGATCCATACATTTACATACAAGAAAGTTTCATATTTTGATTTTCTCTCAAATTTATTATTTCTTTTTAAATTTTGGTTAAAGATTTAAAATAATTAAGTATAAAGTGAAGCAATACATATCGCCAAAATGTAGATTTTAGGAAAAGGCATTTCTCGGGAACAATGCATGAAAATTCATCATTCCTGGGTAATTGAACGGGTTGCTTCTTGTGTCTTTGAGTAAATAATATAAATATCATGGGAAGAGATTTTTAAATTAAAAATTAAGATTATCATTTTTTTTTTTTTTGAAATTCTGCAACAAGCTTTCTTTTTAGAATTCCAAAGAATTAAAGACTGCATGGTATTAAGTAACTATGACAAACTGATAAATCATATGATTTTACTAAGGACACAGTTACAAATTATTGTTTTCAAGAAATTAATCAGCTTTTTAACAAAAAATATGATCTGATATTTTTAATCTCAAATCTTCATTTACTCAATTCTTAGTTTGTCATTCAGATATTTTTGTGCTCAAAAAATAGAAGTTCGATGGATGAAAAAGTTTGAAAAGCCTTCATAATTGCTAAATTGCTAAACTACATCATCATACTAGTTATATCAAATATTATTTTAGCTTTTTCTAAATGCATAAATCTACATTTATTGAGGTTCTTTTTTTTGTAGTAAATCAAATGTTGATGCTTTTATTATGTTACTTGAGAAAAACATTAACATTACAAAGAATATTCTCCGGTAATCTTCCGTAACATTTTATATTGCAAAACGCTCAAACAAAAATAAATACATGTCATGTTGCGTTAGTCAATAGAAAGTTTCACATCCGCAACTGAGTGGGCGTGTCTCCTCTGCACAGCGCCTCCCAGCGGGAGGTGGGATAATCCAATCATATGATTGCTTTGTTGTGACTGACACGGCGTTTCTTGGAGGCTGGAGATGTTCTTTCTAGAGGCCTGTGGGAGGGATTCCGTCACGGCCTGCACATGTTCGGATCCCACTACACTCTTGTCGTATCGCCTTTCAAAGCTTTGGCTTACATCTACATATGTTGGGAAGTCACTATGTAGAACAGTTATTTGCAGTAATACCTTTCATTCCGAGGTAGTGACCACAAAAGAAGATTATTTTTTTGTGGATTTTTTACATTATTTTCCTTGCATGAGCTGTGAAGTTACTTTCAATAGGTTTGAGATTTCTGTGTGCAATTCCCTAGCACTTGACAGTCGCCTGAAAACTCTTGACACCCAATCAGAAGAATGAGTACGTACGGCTTAGCATCAACTGAACATCACCATCAGTTTGCCAACAACTTTGACAAAGTTGCAGCTTACCACAATGCTTTACAGAACAATAAAGCTAACTTCTCCGTGAGTCACCTACTGGACTTGGAGGAACTACCCAGCGAAAACTGTGCCATGTATGCCAACACTGACCCCCAGCCAGGACTTCCAACCCAGGCGTGTACCCCGACCCTCAACGGAAATCCCCCCGGAGCGGGAATGACAGACCTAGGCAACAATTCCCCCTCCCCGATACAAGAGAGGATGCAGCAGCCCTCACCGAGTGATTGTAAAAGTCAGAGTGAGTGTTATTATTGTATTGTCCTTGTCTTGTAGTAAAGATGATTCTACTATTGATAGAGTACTTGGTTTTGCTGTAAGGATGAATACACTCTCGGTAGAGATTCTTATTTCTAAGGGCATTTGCGACGCAGATGATGTGACTTTCGTAAAAGATATTTGCGTATATTTAATCAGGGTTTGATAACAATATCGAGATATACCTAATTAACCTTTGATAAGAACCAAAGCGTTAACATTTCATTAAAACAAACGACCAAAATATGTATCAAATTTGTGCAGCAAATGATGTGTTTAAACGATGACAGAATTCAAAGAATGATCTCTTTAAAATGTACATGAAAATACGATGTAAGAGCCCACCATTTTCTGGAATCACCACAGACACTTTGCTTGTTCTTGCATACAAATTTATCAGTTCAAAGCAAATATAGATATTATCAAAGCAAATTATCATTGGGAACAGGCGTTTTATTTTTTCCCGACAGTAGGAATTGGTTGCGATGATTGAGAGGAAACTGTATACAGTGGGGAAACGTTTGTTGCAATAAGCTCTCTAATATCCGGGGTAATACTAACTGGGCATGACAGGGCATTCCGAGATAAGTTAACTGATTTCATTCAGAAAATAGTGTTACTAATTAATATGGCGGTAAAATCTGTCACAACGATTTGCGGAGGAAATTAGCTCGTATGCTTATATTAGTGATGTGTATCTGGTAGCAAGAAACGTGTTTTCATTTATTAGTGATAATTTGTGTATTTGAGAATTTTTTGCCGCTGACGGGTGGTGGTTTTGATTAAGCATGGCAATGGTATACCGTTTTCAATGGAAGCGATGTGGAATGAATTACCTATTCATTAAATACTAATTACCGTTTGTAAACACAAATTATAGTGGTTAGTAAATGGTTGTATCCTCTTTGTTAAACAAGTGTTTTAATATCTCTTTACACTGCAGTTGTTTCTTTTTTTAATTCAACGCTAAAGAACAACTTCTGAAGAATTTAGCATTCCTTAAGCTTAATCAATTTTTGACATATAGATACATATTTTTTTCTTGATTGTATTCTTTAAAAGTTAAATTTACATTTGAATAAAATTTGCTTTCTTAACCAAACCATTTTCACTTATTTAAAATTTAAAGTTATTCTAAATGTAAAAAGTCTCAAACGTATACACAATTTTGTTACATGCAATGATTTTCTGCAGATTGCATCAATAGAACCTTATTTTCCTTCATCAGATGAAGAGTTCTTTTCCGCTAAATTGTCTGTTTATGTACAGTAGTCGGTGTTTTGATTTGACGGTATCTGTCTTTTGTCAGACATCAATTCGTGTGCTCTAAACGTTGATATATGTTGATGAGTCTGTAAAAAGAACACTGCTGATCGATTCATGATATCTGGTTTATATATCATTTACTTTTCAAATTCCCATTTCTTGTTTGCATATTTTGATATTTGGAAGTAAAATTGCGAAAATTTACATTAATTTTTTCACAAAGTAATACAAAATAATTTCATAGAGTTTATTTTCACCTTACTGATGGAACGTATAATATGTATAAAAGCATATTGTATGAGCTTTTTGAAAAATTGAACAATTCATTTAAAAAAAAACAACAAAAGTTTAATGAACTTTTTTTAGGTAACTCGATTGAACTTTTGGTTCAAACAAAATGCAGTGCTTTTACAAGATATTTTAAAATTCAAAAATTATAATTTCAACATAGAGATAAGTTTTCTGTTTAACAATTAAATTGCTCAAGGATTGTCAAACATTAATAATAAATCTAAATAATATAATGTTAGAGCATAAATAATTTATCAGCATAACATTAAAACTAAATATCCAATGAAGAATCTCAATACAAAGCATACCAGTACTTCATGCAGTTGAAGTGAGTTTTTCCCAAGATATAAATTGAAATGAACATTAAATTTATCTCTATTCTATTTAAGCATTCTTGACCTTTTTACACTGTAAGTTAATTGAACACATTTTCATGCTTGCATTTTCCCCCTTTAAGAAGGCATCAGTGATTTTTGTTCATCATTACTATTAATTGTATTTGAATATATTTTCGAGGGCTAAAATTTTAAAAGGTAATTGATAAAATTGATCATTATTCACATTTCTAAGTGAAATAATTTTATGACTAAACGCTTTTTATTTTGTATAGAATCCATAATCATATGAATAGTTTTAGCACAAATTTTAGGAAGTTCCATAGGATATACCAGTGTTGCCATGTATAAAGTCTGTTCAAATGAGTTTAAACCCTAAAACTTTTGTTGTTGTCAGAACTATGTTGAAGCGAAACTATATAAGCGGATATTCGAATAATACCTAAAGACTATTTAATATAATCCAAATCAAATGGTAAAGTTGTAAAGATGCATTCTGCTGAGTTAACTTGAAATAAATCTTAATTATAGCACTTAAATTCGATTTATTCATTACTTGAAAGAATGAACGAAGTATAAAAATATGCGATTATTTTTTAGATAAATATCATTGCAAATACATGTACATGGATGCAACGGGAAATCAAGACTTCTCGGGATTTTTCCTTAGATGATAAATGAAAATTTTCTCTCTTTGATAAGTTATGATCTGAAATTAAACTTTTATAAATGTTTTTAAGAATACAAAATCGAAACTTTTAAGAATCTAAACATAAATAAATATAATAGAAAACATTTAAAGTTTATTTTGATCGATAAAACCAGAGGATTTCCGTAAAAATGGCTGACACTTCAGCATAATCACGAGAGTACACCCTTAAAGACTTTTTCTCTACAAAAAAAATATTTTTGCGATAAATCTTCTGTTCTTTTAAACTTGCGGACATGCATTTACGCATAACTACATGAAATATCTAGATTTATCGACATGTTTTCTGAGTAATAAAAGACCCTACATGAAGTAAATACATGTGCTGATTTCTTTACCGACGATCTCTCCATCCTCTTTCTCGTTATAGGTATCGCTTTCCCGGTTCTGTGGAGTCGTTATGATTTTGTTTTGATACCGCTGTGTTACTTGATGGGTTAGGAAAATGTTTGTCTACATCACATACGGACTGACATGACGGAGCGTTCGAAAGATAACATTAATTACCATTCTGGAAGTCCTGCTAATAATAGCAACTCCTCTCTTTCTCTTAGAAAACAATGTAATATTATTTATGTGTTTTGTACTCTCTGAATCAGCCTCTTGACATTTGCCAAGGCTTCCATATAAATCTTGAAATGACAAACTTGGGGTTGGTATAGTTCATTGATAAAATTAATGAAATAAATGGTGCGAATGAGATGCCCTCCCTAATCAACAATCTGGTGATACCACCATGCTTTTAATTACAAGTTTCAAGTGTTAGCAGAATGATGGACGGGATTACATGAATTTAATTATTGGCATGTCGGACGAGTAACGTTCAGGGGTGATGAACGAGAGCGGAAATTTAAAGGCCTTCCAATCTGGTTCTCCCAATTTCTCATTAGAATTTAAAACTTGACTCATGACAGTACAGGCATAGAAAAAATTGCAACTTTGCAATACAAGGTTAGAAAGAAATCTGAAAAAAAAATAGATCGAAAGTTTTACTTTTTATAAAACTCATAACTGCATCTTGAATTCTTTTGATCATAAGAAAAAAAGGAAAACAAAGCCTGTCGATTTGAAATTCCTCGTATGCTACATAATTAAGAAGAGTGGCCAAAAAACGAGTAAGGAAATACAAACAGCATATATATTTTCAAGGCAAGGCACTTTCATGAACTTGCTCCAAAACTTATTATTATGCTTCATAAAATAGAAAATATTATTAGTTTTGCTGCGGTCATACCGGTAAATTTTGGCATTTATCACATTCTGACATTTGTTGTCTTAAAAAAAAAGTAATCTTGGAAATAGCTAGAGTTATTTGACCCTACTTCCAACAATTTAAAGTTTATCAGAGGCGATAGAAAACGCAGAAAATACTCTGATAATCGGAGATATTTTTCTACAAAATTCTGATTATTACAGAATTTGAAAACGTTCAGGGTACGTGATGAAAGAGAAATTTTCCCTCCTTTTTATCACAAGAGGGACCATACATAATTTTACTTGTCTACCGAGCGAGCCTAACGAGGCTCGTATTTTACAGTTATTTCCATGTTAAATCGTGCTAATGTCAAAACGATAGCCGCTGTAATACATTATTACTTGCTATCACTCCCTCCTCCTGCTTATATTGCTATTGATAGATAAGCAAAATTGTGAATCTTAAAACAGAAAATAAATAATGTTTTCCCATGATAAAGCATTTTTATTACGATTTACTTCTCGTGAATTTGATATCTTGATATTGTACCTTTACAGTTTTTTTTCTCTTCCTTGGAGATATATTAAAGAATTTACTCTGGTACATCCTTGATACACTCTATTCGAGGTCATTTTTGCGGTTGACAATATGTAGACTGCTTGGAGCCTTTGCAAGCACCTATCATACCAAGAGGTTGATTCACATACGCATGACTGATAGAAATTGGCTGAAATGGACAGTGTAATTTTTGAAAATTTTCTCTAAAACCAAAAGAAAGAGTTCATTTTTTGTTTGGTTTTTTTTTTGTTTATCGGTCTAGTTGATGGCTTTAAAGTTTTTTAGTGATAATTTTGAATTAAAGAAGTTTTCAATGGCGATATTTTGTAGTCGTAAAAAACATTTCATTGCAGAAGTCACGAATTACACCGAATCTAATTAGTGTGAACATCTAGTGATAAGTAAACAGCTAATTGAAATGATAAAAGTCTTATATCATTATATATCGATCTACAAGCGATTCCTGATCCGTTTACTTTTTATTTTTTGAAAGGCAGGCCATACTTTTTTTTTTTATCGAAGCCTAGTTTTAAAAAATATTGTTTCAGCTTACCATTGAAGAAAATTTTAATTCTAAAATCATCATAGTTTGCAAAAAGTTACCTGTGAAAGAATAGACAAAAGTCTGTTTCTTTTTTTATAAGGTAAAGAAATCGAATTTTGTTTATAAAATAATGAAAAAAAAAATTAATCACTTTTCATGGAAAGGATCATCAAATGCAAAACGAACATCGATAAATTAAAATTATTACATACCTACGCAAACTGATTTTTTTAAAATTTAGATTATCGTGTAAGTCGAATATGTCCCATGGGGTTTGTTTGTATATGCTCTTCCCTAGCGTACTTCTGACACTCTCAGAAACACATGCTACTTTTATACAAACATGTAAAATCCCAATCTGCAATGATGGACTCTTGGTTGTCAAAAACCTGACATGGAAACATCGCTCAATAGTAGCCGTAAAAGATAGGAAGGAATTCTAGACCCAATGTTTCAAGATTCAGATCAAAGCAACATTAAATTGTCTTCCGAGAGAGGGAGGAATATACACTTTGTCAAGTAGCTGCCATAGATTTTGAAACTTCGCAAAGAGTTACACCGCCTATTAATTAAAACATGTACAAATGAGGTTTCTGTGTTTCAGACCCTTCAGACACTCGGTGCTCTCTAATCTGTTATTTATTACTTCAATTAACCGGCAAATTATTATGCTTGAACAAGAGAAACGTATTACCAGTGAATATATATCGCATAAAAATTCTCAACGATTGAGTGAAAATGTAACAGAGGGGCCCTTTGTCAAATTTTGTAAATGAGTTCTGAAAAGTCAAAATGTCATCTTAGCCACGTGATACGCAAAAACTCTAAATCCTCCACAAGGGATAAACATTTGAGGTGTATCAAATTACCTAAATAAGCATCAGTTATCGCAGTATTCGAGATATGGGCACTTGCTGATATAAAAATTACTTTGGACTATATAAATTTGTATATGTTCGCCAAGTTTTTTTTATTAACCTGAAATTGTGCAATAAAAGAATACTATTATAATAATAAATTTCAGCACCAAATAATTTTTTTTAGGATTCCAGTACTCGACCATTTACTATTTTTGACTCTTCGAAAAATGTTTTTAAAGTGTAATAAACCATTTACCATGTCACATAAACAAATAATGACATTACTTTATCATTTTATTTTACGATTGTTAAAACACCCGATCCGGCCCAAGTTTTTGAAGCATTGCATGTCTACGAAGAGCTCTGCAAGAAAGGGGATACTTCCCTGACTGAGGGGCAAAGATAAACGTCGAATAAATTTCAGTCAAATTTTCTCATATAACAAGTAATTACGCAATAGTGTTTTGTCTTAGAAAATTATACGTGCCATATGATCCTAGGGTGTAAAGGTGTTTATATAAAAATCCAACGTGACACAAAGTTAAAAAAATGTTGTTAAGGTTATTGAAAAATTTTCGAAGATAGTAACAAAAATGTTTACGGCAACATAATTTTTTGGACAAAATATTTTAAAGAAAAATCTCTAATGCCCAACTTTCAAATTACGGGGGAAAAAAACAACATTTTCAACCCTTTCGAAATAAGAAATAGTAGTTGGCATTTTTGTAGAAGATTTGGTAAGGACGTGTATTGCAGGAAAACAAAAATCTCCCAAAACACTTGATGAAGACCGCTGGCGCCTTTGATGTCTTCATTTCGACAACATGACAGGCTCCTCTTGCTGAGCAATATTTGAGCTTACTCTGGGGTTAAGTAGTAGCGCTGCTACTAAGACGCACACGTGGTCCGCTAAAGCCGGGTCGGTGTATTTTCTTAACAAAAGTCAACATTTGTGTTCCTAATGTGCATTCCTGCCGAGCATATTGAGGAATGGTCGAGGAGACGTGAATGACTTCTGCCATAAAATCTCCCGACGATTAACTCTTTCCAAACAATGATTTATTTTTCAAAATATTTTGCTGTGGTGAAATTTCTCATTATCACTTATTCTACGATGTTTTTCTTGCGTTTTTAAGTTTTATCAAATTCTACCACCATTGTTTATAATGTACATTTTTAAAAGTAGATAGATCATGTGAAACTCCAAATCAACATATATTTTATTCCATCTTTCATAACTTCATGCTGCATTCAAATCTTCGCTAAAAAGCAAAGAATTTCCTTAATCTTGTCATGAAAATGAAGGGAATTTAGGTAAAACTTTCGCATACCCTGTTTCCTTTGTTACACATGTAGAAAGATGAACATAACTAAAGACTACTAGTACACCCTCATGCACACGCGAAAAATATCAATCAATGTCCCAAAATAAGGAAAAAATCAAAATTATAACATCCGTCATACAACGAGCAATTTATATATCACATCATAAATGATTTCTCGGTGATCGCTTTTTAAAGGAATAAATAATGAAAGGTTGAAATAATTTGTGACCCACACTTATTGTTATCTCATAAATCTCTCATCAATAGTATTTTTAAAACTTGAATATTTTAAAGCTTTGTCATTTCGAAAAGTATGAAATGTTTCAAGACCAATGACTATTCCAGATGACTCATATACAATTAAATTGAACACTTTTTAATTTAAAGGTGGCAACGAGGATGATGATAAAGATGACAAAGACAGCAAGAGGAGACGAAAGCAAAGACGCAACAGAACAACATTTAACAGCAATCAACTTGCAGCGTTGGAGCGAGTGTTCGAAAGGACGCATTATCCTGACGCGTTTGTTCGAGAGGAACTCGCGAGAAGAGTTAACCTGAGTGAGGCCCGAGTACAGGTGAGCACTGGATTATCTTGAACAAAAAATATTAATTTCAAAATACCTTGCAAAACAAAAGCAAAAAGATTTATCAGAATACTCATCAAGATTTTTTCCTTCAGGTTTGGTTCCAGAATAGGAGAGCAAAATTCAGGCGCAACGAAAGAAATATGATGGCCCAAAGAGGTAACTTGTATGGACGACCAGAGACGACACCTATCGAGCAACCCATAACGCCTAGACAATCTTCCATGGGACCCACCGATACAATGAACTGGTATGCCCCTCCGGCTTACAGTCCCGCTTCATCATCTTCAAGTTGTGCTCTTGCAAATCATTCGTACTCCCCACCCCCTAATATTGGTTCAAGCATAGCGTGTCTCAGGCTGAAAGCCCAGGAATATAACACTGTTATGCATAATCCATATTCTCATCAAATGCCGCAATGACCGGAGAGCAAAATGACCGGGGAACATTAAAAATGTGACACCGTTCTGATGTAATTAATGGTGAAGTGATATTGTGATTGTAATGTGGGATAACTTTACCAACAACATGTTCATACGTGACGTGATTGGAATACATGGAGAAGGCAGTGATATGTCGATGCGATAAAAACTCAGGATACTAATGCTAGTATGGAATACGGCCTCGTCAAGTGGTGAGAGCAAAGAAAGTGAGATGGTACGACAGATTCTGTCACCTACTGGAGGAGTAGATATGCTAGATGTCTGAACGGAAGCATTATCGTCACATCGAATCATTGTCATCAACATCATTATCGCTAACATCAAATAATACTTGTCACAAATTCCTGCAACTTAGTTTTCCCTTCTATTTATAAATCAGTGGTTAAAAAGGACACCTACATATGAGGACCCCAATGTCTGTGTCTAAGTATTTCACAGGTGCGCAAAGCATGATTTTGTCTGTTTGTTTGTAAGAATTGATATTTACTCGTCACAGGTTGTGGTTGTTGAAGTTGTATAATCACGTGATCTGTATGTTTACTGTTATTCGAACACACTTGTTCCCCTTATCCATCCGTCCTAGCGTCGGCACTGTACAGGGGCTTCCAAACTTAAATGTGTAGATTTTTGTTTCATATATCTGTTGAATATTGTCATTTTTACATGCACATTTTATCTGCTTGAAATGAAATGTAAAAGAGAAAAACAGAAGGTTCATAAAGACATAATACTCGTATATGATTTGTTAAAAATTTGAGATTTTTTTTATGTGTTTACAGATTTTTCGTATGAAACAGTTGGAAATCCTGTTGGTTGACTTTCTGAATATTTCTATGCAAAATGAGTTTTTTGTTGTCATATAATTTTAACATTTTTTCACATGGCTGGTGAAGAAATTCTTGACGTTTTATTAATGTTTCCGTCGTAGAATTAGATTTGAATTTACTTAAATTCTCTATTCGTGCCTTGTCAAAAAATGTTTTGAAAAAAAGATAAACAACGAACTTCCAACTCAGATGAAATTTATCACCCCATATTCAATTTTTCTCTTGTTTATGCGTCTTTTCCAGATGAAATTTTAAATAGCGTTTTGTAAATATATTTTGAATATTTTGATACCGTTTAATGTTTATATTGAGATATGCAAAATAAAAATGTTACATAAATGTATAATTTAGTGGATTTTATTCTTTTGGTTCAATTTTATTTAATTCTGGGTGCTGTAGTTTTTTGTTACATTCCAAGTTCTCGTCTAATGTACTTTCTCCGCCTATGTTGTGTTCCATGGGATTTGGAGGAGCGCGTACATGTCTTCTTTGTCACCATGCCAACAATACTGATCGTCTGCCAAACCAAAAGGAAACATTGGACACGTGTGCCTGAAAACAAAAGTTTCTTTTTAAAGATATATACATTGTAGTTGTATAAAATAATGGTGCGTAATATTATTAACAATGATATCAGTAAGAAACAAAAATTAATAAAGGGATAAAATTTTAGGACTATAAAATAATCATGAAAACTAAAACATTATGCAGGCTTTTGCCACGTAAAAATTCGAAGTAACCTTGTAACAAATACACATAAAACATTAAACATTTCAATTTGTATTTGCTAACATTATTCTTTGGATCTGAAACGATATCAGACCGTATGAATTTTGCAAAACATCACGATGAAATACTGATCGCACTTTGAATGATATTTGATGGTTGCACATTAAAAAATAAGCACTTTAGAACTATCGAAAAATCGTGCCACGAAATGTATGTTTGAAATTCATAATTCGTATAAAAATTGTGCTGCGTTATAGTAAAACATTAAGCGGTATTTTTCAGATGCGATATGCATAGAATGCCTCGTCAAGAATCATATGGCGCACAGATGAGAAATCGTGCATGACTTTTATATATCTTGTGAACATATCTTTGGCGAAATGGATAGCCATTAAATGCCGTCCTGAGCACCCTTGCTAAGCATGCTAAGTGTTTGTTTCCGCGCGGTTTCCCGGATCGATGGTATCACAGACAAACGGACGACAGGGTGAGACTTGGTGTGCCCGTTCCTGGGAACAATCTCTGCCTCTTCGTTTCAAAATGTTATCTCTGATTTTTATGGGCTTTTGCTGTTCTTAGACTGATCCTATTTCTCTGACCGGAAATAGGTGATCTCTGCTAGCAACACTGGACAATGCTTACTTTCTTTGTTATTTCTTTGTTTCTCTCTCAACATGAATATAAGGCAAATTTAGAGTATTTATTGGCGTAGTTCTTTTAAAATAAATGTATCCAAGATTCCAAGTAAGCTTTGTTATCCATTTGAAAGCATTGAATCTGTCTGTTTAACTTTATATGTTACACGTTGGAGGCAGATGGAGACTTCCTACTTTAAAACGTCTAAAAGATCACAACACCGTGGTCACTGCTTATTTAGTTAAGGGTCGTCTTTGTGACTTACCAGATAAAACAACCAATTAAACAGATAATCCTTTCGCGTGTGGATTGCCCTCTGCAGGTTAACCTCTAATTGTCAATTACTACCGCGCGTTATAAAATCCGCGGCAAAAACACAGCCTTAGGCCTTGTCAACACTTAGGCCTTTTATTGCATTTTCTTATCTTGAAAATCTGCAGATGCAGTGGTTGTTATTTCCTTGAGAAGGTTCGTTAAAAGTTCCATCTTTCTTTTCTCTGGACATTAATAACACTTGGTCAGCTGTATACACAAAAGAAAAAAGAGAGGTTTAACCAATTTTACCTTATAATAGTGTGCAGAGAGTCACCATTCATGCCATTTTGGTATAGAGTCAAAAATTTCAAAATTATTTATGAAGTCCATAAAAATCGTTAACTTGTTTTTTCCTTGATGTCGTCATCTTCAGAATGAAACATTGATTGTTGGACAGTTGCTGGGAGGAAGTGAGAATTTTTTCGGTGCATTTGATAGGCGAGAACGTCTGACTCCTCCTTACATGATAACCTACTTCAACAAAATATGAAACCTTTATTAATGGGAGTTTATGCATTATTTCACAAGAAGATGATAATTTTTAAATTCTTAAAATTTCCCAAGCGATAAATACACATTTTAGCAAATAAACGCAAAAAGTGGGTAAGAACAAAGAGAAGCAACTCATTTAACAGCAACATCTTTCGAAGTTCTCGCGTTACATTGATTGGAGAATTCACTTAGTACTTAGCTTTAAACAACCGCTTCTAATTGGTTTCTTTTCATATTCAGTGGAAGTAAAATAAACTAGTTACGTAGGTTATTCATTAGACAAGTTGGAAGAAGTCCCTCGGCCTATCCATGTTGGATTCAAGAACTTTTAATAGTGTGTGAGAAACTTACAGTTGGCTCTCACAACAGAACGTTATGAAAACAGGCCTTTTACTATTTTTGCAAGGCTTTTCCGAATAATTAATGATTTATGGCACAAGACACAAAATGTGCTTTTGAAACACTGGTGTTCCGTATGGCAGCTTATGCAAAGGTTAAAGTTTCTCAAATGCATGTAAAACTCAGAGGTTAGGGTGAATATCTCACAGAATATACCTCTGAAATATGAAAGCCCATGCACATACCTTTCAAAAATTATGGTCAAGGTTCATTTTCTTTAAAAATGGGTAAACTTCATGGTCAAATTCAAAATTGATAGTATCCAGAAAACGGCCTTGTAAAATATAAAAGCCCTAGCAGGAACTATTAAAAAATTATGGCAGAGACGAATTTTACAGTGGTATCCAATGACAATCCTTATTACAAGAAATTCATCTGTGAAGTATGAAAAACCCAGCTCTAACTGCTCAAAAGTTAAGGCTAAAGTAAAAGTTAAAAATGTTGGTCTAACTTTAAGATCAAGGTCAAAATTTTCAGACCAGTGGAAAGGTCTTATAGATATATAGGTGAAATATAAAAGCCGTTGCACTAACTAATCCCCCGTAATCAAAGAGTTGGCGGTATATAGTTTTTGTCCTGTGCGTCCCTATGTCTGTTGTTTGTCCGCAATACTTTAACCTTGTCAATAATTTTTGAGTGCGTAGGGTAATGGCTTTCATAATTCACAGATGTATTCCCTGTGACAAGGAATTTCTTTTGACACCACCAAATTTAATCTTGTGACATTGACCTTGGCGTTTGACACCTTGTGACCTTGACCTTGGAGTTTGACCCACATTTACCAATAAATTCCGAACTTAAACCATATCCACAACTTTTGGATAGTTGGTGCAAGGGCTTTCATACTTCACATGTGTATTCAATATGAGAAGACCATTTATTGGGTATAGAAACATTTGAGCATTTGATCTTGACCTTTAAGTATAGTTTCACTTTAAAAAACTTTAATCTTGGCCGTAACTGTTGGAACGTTAGTACTAGGGCTTTCATAATTTACAAGTGTATTCCTTGTAAAAAGACTAGTCTTATCAATGGGTATAAAAATATTTGATTTTTGACCTTGTCCTTAGAGTTTGGGCTACTTTTTAAATAGATTAACTTGGCCATAACTTTTGAATCGTTAGTACTGGGGCTACTTTTTAAATAAATTAACTTGGCCATAACTTTTGAATCGTTATTGCTGGGGCTTCATTTGGATACCAACTATTTTGACCTTGACCTTAGAGTTTGACCCATTTAAAAAAATTAATTTTAACCATAACTTTTGAACCGATAGAACTAGGGCTCTCATATTTCACAGGTGTGTAACTGTTCCTTGTAAGAAGATCTTCCATTGTATACCGACAATTTTGAGCTTGACCTTGGAGTTTAACTTGGATTTGAGAAAGTTCAACCCTCGTCATAAGGTGCCATACCGGGGAATCAGTGTTTGATTGATTGATTGTATTTTGTTTAACACCCCTCTCGAGAATTTTTCACTCATATGGATACGCCACCACTTGCCGGTGGAGAGCTGCAAAGTTTGTCCTTTACTCGGCACTCAGGGCCATTGAGCAAGAAGTGATATTTTTCGTGACAGCACCTACTGCGACACGGGTATACCCCATCGCTGGATAATGTGACTGATACTTTATACGGTCTCATCCGAAGGACCGGTCTCCACGTCTCACAGTGGATTTCAAACCTGTGAATCACTGTTTGACAAACACATCTTTTTGAAGTGGGTCAAACTCCAAGATTAAAGTCAAAGGGTCATGTTGGTAAACAAAGAAAAGTCTTGTCACAATGAATACATTTGTGAAATATGAAAGCCATGCAGACAAACAGACAGCTAGACAGACGGACAGAGAATTGATTGATTGTATTTTGTTTAACGCCCCTCTCGAGAATTTTTAACATACATAGAGACGGCACCAATGGCCGGTGGAGAGCTGCAAATTTTGTCCTATACTCGGCAGTCATGCAGGGCCATTGGGCAGGGAGAGATGTTTTTCGTGCCAGCACCTACTGCGACACGGGACCTCGGTTTATACGGTCTCATCCGAAGGACGGTCTCCACGTCCCCCAGTGGGATTCGAACCCACAACGTAAGGATCGACCCCTTACTTCGCGACTCTAAAGCAGACCTATAACCACTGCACAACGCGGGCGGGGACAGAGCATAAAGTATATTCACAAGAATCCTTGACTGCAGGGACATAAAATTATTGTAGAAGCTTGCGAGTTTGCACAAAAGCAAGGTGTATTACTAGTATTATGTGCACCTCCTTTACGCACCGAAGCGGATTAGTATCAAATTCTGTTTTCAATTAGGTTTTAAATTTTAATGTTGGACTTTTCTACTCCAAAATAGGTAATTCCTACTTTTAAGTTGGTTTATCCAACTTTAAAAGTTGTAATTCTTATTCAAATCTTGGCTTTCAATGTTTGAAAAGCCAAGACCCAAGATTAAAGTTTGAACAAAATTTAGAAGTAACCAATTTTAATTTGAATAACCAATTTTAAAGAAATATATACTGTGGCAAGTATAGCTACAGATCTGCAGCTATGGCAGATATGGTCTGTATATATATATATGCTAATATAAAACGTAAACATTTATATTTCATGACCTTTTGATCCGCGAAATTTACATTCCGGTGAAAAATCAACTCACCTAACTTTCAAAAAGTCGTCACAGAGAAAAAAAATAGAAATGTAAATAAAAAAAAACATTTCATCACTCTTGAAACAAGAGGACATGAATTTTATCATTTTTGTGAGTTGTACACACACTGAAACCATTTGTTGTGGCTTTCCTCAGAACGGAGGACCAGAAACATGGGCCCGGGGGGGGGGGGGAGGTGTTGATGGTTATAGGATAAAATTTACGCATTTTTAACCTATTAAACCTTTTGTCTTTCACATTGCATTTATATATTATTTCATTGTTCAATAAATTTTCTGAACGAATAGATGACTTCCTTAGATAATAATAGCTGTAAAGTATACACCACAGATTGTCAAATTCCTTAAGACAGTTTATAGTCTAACCTTCATGTACACTTATTTCATGTTACCTTACTGCTCTAGAGTCGCGAAGTAAGGAGTTGATTCTTACGTTGCGGGTTTGAATCCCACTGTGGGACGTGGGGACCGGTCCTTCGGATTAGACCGTATAGGATAAAATTTATGCATTTTTAACCTATTAAACCTTTTGTCTTTCACATTACATTTATATATTATTTCATTGTTCAATAAATTTTCTGAACGAATAGATGACTTCCTTAGATAATAATAGCTGTAAAGTATACACCACAGATTGTCAAATTCCTTAAGACAGTTTATAGTCTAACCTTCATGTACACTTATTTCATGTTACCTTACTGCTCTAGAGTCGCGAAGTAAGGAGTTGATTCTTACGTTGCGGGTTTGAATCCCACTGTGGGACGTGGGTACACACACTGACCGGTCCTTCGGATTAGACCGTATAGGATAAAATTTATGCATTTTTAACCTATTAAACCTTTTGTCTTTCACATTACATTTATATATTATTTCATTGTTCAATAAATTTTCTGAACGAATAGATGACTTCCTTAGATAATAATAGCTGTAAAGTATATACCACAGATTGTCAAATTCCTTAAGACAGTTTATAGTCTAACCTTCATGTACACTTATTTCATGTTACTTTACTGCTCTAGAGTCGCGAAGTAAGGAGTTGATTCTTACGTTGCGGGTTTGAATCCCACTGTGGGACGTGGGGACCGGTCCTTCGGATGAGACCGTATAAACCGAGGTCCCGTGTCGCAGTAGGTGCTGGCACGAAAAAGAACCCTTACTGCTCAATGGCCCTAAGTGCCGAGTGTAGGACAAACTTTGCAGCTCTCCACCGGCAAGTAGTGGCGTCTCCATATGCTTGAAAAATTCCCGAGAGGGACGTTAAACAACATACAATCAATCACATGTTACTTTAAAACTTTCCTACTGTCTAGTATAGCACCAATCTTTCATAGGAGAAAGGTAAAAATGGTCATGTTTTTACTATAAATGATCGAACTACTTTCGTATTGTCTGAATTCATTGCATATTATTGCACTTATCTTTAAAACAAACATATATTAGATACAATTTTTTGTGGTAACATGTGCATAAGATCGCAAGTCTTCCATGTTTGCTGAAGTCATGATTCAATAATCTGAGAAAAGAGCTGAGGATACATTGAACTATTTTGAAGAAAATGATGTATAATTTCAAAATTTAAACAAGTATA